ATGAGCAAAGGGGTCAGCTGTATTTTGGGCACAGCAGAAACCAAGCTGGGAGGGAGAGAGAAGATTGTGAGTTCTGGTAGTTTACATAAGCAGCTAATTAGAGTGGTGGGATTTATTGGATTTCAAGAGGATAAGATAGTTTCAGAGGAAAATTTCCTGTCGTCCAAATGTGGTTGAAATTAACAGGAAGGAGAGAGAGAGGAAGATGGAAGATGTTGGGGCATAGGGAAGTGAATACCGTCAGGGCCTTCATGGGTGTTGTGGCATGACTGTAAGGGAGTGTTGAGTTCAGAGGGAGAAAAAGGAGCATTATACGACTCGGAGGACAGGGTGAAGATGATGTGGGTGTGTTCTCTGGTGATCTTAATAGAAGAGAAATGTGGAGAAAGATGAGAGCCACTACTGACCTGGCTGAAATAATTACCCAGTTCATTAGCGACTAAAAGAGGATCAGAGATGAGAGTATCTCGAATATGGAGGACAGGGGCTAGATGGGGGGGGATGTTTGCCTGGTAGTTTATAGAGAGGGTTGGAATAGGTACATAGGGAAAAAACTCGTCGACGTGCCTCCCGCCTGGCCTCACGGAAAGCAGGTCCCAGTTTGAATCTGGGAGATGTTGCTTCAACCTCTGAACTTGTAAGCAGGGCAGCTCTTATAAAAAATAAATTTTTCTAAGTCCCCCCCCCCACAACAACTGGCATGAGACTAGAGGAGGGGGGTTAATGCTGTAAAGTTTAAATCCTCTTACCTACAACTGTTTCTTCCATCCTTGAATCCATATTAACCAAGGGACCAAATAAAACAACCAAACTTGTAAAAAAAACATTATTTCTCACTTCACTTACACTGGATAATTTGATGATACATAGACTACAAAACTAACAATTGTGGTCATTGAGGCTACACCTGGTGGCCGAGTGATAAATAATTTAGTCATACTTTTGGGAGTGATGCAAGAAAAAGGTCATCATCACGGATGAAATGAGCATTACTACGATCCTTATTTGTCACTGGCCCCTGGAAATGATACAAACTAAATAATCAATGAATGACGAAGTTCATTGGGCATACAGTACATACGCAAGCTCTCTACGAATGGTGATTGTGTGTCAGGTATTTTGCTTGGGTATACACTGTACAGCCAATGATGGGATGTAAAGTTTTAAGAAGGGAGACGTGAATTTCTGATGAATTCATTCACTTGCAAATCACTTAATATTGTAATACTGTGGCACATTGCAAACCAAAATACAGACTGGGAATATGGAGGGGGATATTCCCCAACTCGCACAGAGGGGATGCCACATGTCACTGACAAGTCTATGAAAAATACTGGGTCAGTATCAGGTACTGAAATCATACACGTGTCAATGGCATGTCACGTCTTTGGTCTCCACAGCTATGCGAAAGTTGGTAAATATAAGAAACTATGATAAAGATGTGAGAAAGGCATCTTACGAAATGAAAAAAAAACTAGGTTCATACAGAAATAAATGCTTTGGATCAGAAAACTCCACAGGCAGAGGCATCTCACTGAAGTCTGAGCGCACACGGCGGAATAGTTACCGTGAGCCACCCTCAGTGAGATGCTCGTGCGCATTACTCGGCCGTCCTGATCTTCCCACACTAAAAGAAGAAGAAAGAAAAGAAAAAAAGACACTGAAAAATAAAATCTCATGAAAGTAAAGTCAGATGCCCATTACCACAACTTTCTCCCTAGTTCATGACAAGATTACCATCCTGTTGACAAGTGAACATATAGAGGTTGTCATGCGACTTGGCAAGACCTTGGCATGAAGCAAGGCCACTGTCAAGCCGCCATGTTATGTATAGAGAAAAACTTTGGACATGTCATTAGATCACTTCTCCTTCTCATGAGGACGATCACGCATAACCCTAAAAAATGAATACATAATCTATAAAACACTAAATGGTACTAAAAACCAGACAGTTAACAACACGTAATAATCACTGATACAACTTGTTTGCTCACAGGTGATTGTCCTTTACAGCAAGAAAAGCTAAGAACTTTCTATCGAGTTCGTATCCTACGGGTGAATCCTACGGTGTATTAAGAATGTTCTTTAACGGCAAAGCTAACTAGAGAAGGTGGTAAAAAAATTTTATTGTGGACCAAATAGCTAGTAGAAGTTTTAATGGTTTTAAAGTAAGCAGTCCACAAGCTCTGTTGCGCTCAGAGTTCAACTAAAACTTATGACTATCAGATGCTTCATCACTCACAATTTGATTCTTTTTGTTTTTTAATATATAAAAGTTTCAACAGAAAATGTCACATTCATTTTACCCTGCATTTTTTCCCTACCAAGCCACCACGACTGCATGGCTTGGTATACAATTCAAATCAATGGTTGTTCTGGATAACAATTTGTGCAATAACATACATTATAGTGATATCATTAACTCTATCTTTTAAAAATCTAAAAAAAGAAAAGAAAAACTTCCTGGAGTCAGTTACACAACAATTTTAAGCTAGGCCTC